AAATAAATGCTAAGACATACTACTCTTTAAATTGAAAAGGCATAGATTCTCAGAAATATCCATAAATAAATGTCTTTCATGTGTAACTTGTTAGACCTGTTATACACTGACCATGAGTTATCGGTTATGCCATTATCGTTTTCCTTAGAAAGAATACTTAAAAATGGCTATGAAGTCTTTATTCAAGCACTAAGTTTTGCATGATCTTATATATTTACTGTAAAAAAATTTGTCTTGTTCCAAAAAATGATACATGTCATGTCCAGTTATATGGTGTTTCTTTATCCTATCAGAAAATATACAGAAATTTTACAATATCAATGTATTTTTTTCTCTTGATTTCCATGAATGTGTCGAATCACTGTTCATTCTTAGGCTTTCTATACTATTGGTTTAAATTTCAAAGCAGACATATGTATACAATATTGAAAGAGATCTATGTAATTGCATGTTGTTATTCTAACCTGAAATAGTTTAGAATCATTTAAAAATTACGCCAATGGGAAAAAAATGAAAAATGATTTGAGTAGGACATGAAAGACAAAGGTTACAAACAGATGAGACTAGAACACTAAGGCAACTTCTTTGCTACTATGCCAAGTGTTTTGTGTTATATGATTATTGAGGTAAATTTCTACCCTAGGGAAATGGCTTTTCTCAGGGGATTCTAACATTTTGTCTTTCCAGTTGAGGTTACTGAACACAGACTTCTGACAGATTTTTGCCTGTAAGGCAATGTATGAGTATCTGATATGTTTAAGCACAGTTAACAACTAATGATCATTGGCTAAATATATACATCAATATACTGCATACTCATCACTAGTGCTAAGAGCTTGAAGTCGAATTTTTCTCTACTGTTTTTATAGTCACTAATTTCCAGTTGTATTATTAAGGAGTGCTAGAGTATGTCTCTATATTTTACAAAAAAACTCACTTTTTCTCTTCCTCCACTTCCATTATATATTTTTAAATATAGTATTTAACTTTCATATTTATGATGTAGTACTATCCCTTGTTGCTGGTTTCTTTATTACATAAAGTTCTAAGTTTTAAAATATAACTGTTAAAACTTTTCTGATGTAGTTATGGCTCCTGCTTAGGCCATATAAACCTTGTTATTAGATAAATATGCTCTGGCACTTATTTCCGGTGGTCACAATAAATCAATATGATCAAGGTGAATTAAATCCAATGGAATAGATAGATTCTTTAATATGACTGACTTAACACCTTTTGTGATAATATACAGTGGCTATACTTATAGCTATTTGTAACAGGTCATGTGAATTTTACATTTTTGGTTTAGATGGCATGTTCTGTTTGACATCTGTGTTACTTTGGAATATGTTTATAAGAACATCAGAACTTAAATTAACTTTTTGCTGTGTTTGCTGAAAAGAAGCTCACCATGATCCACAAGTTTGTTTCAGTATGTGCTACAATCTCACAGATTACAGCAGTAAATTCACTGCCTTTATTAGTTTCTGGAAATACTTCCAAAAACTTGAAAATATATATATATACTTTTTATGACTTTGTTTAACTCAGTCTATTTGATGAAAACATTTCAGAGAGCAGATCGAGATTGGTCAGTATGGACACACTGGTTATTTTGCTGTAATATCCACAAAGCGTGGGTGTATACTAGAGATTTCAGCATACTATATAGAATTTGCAAGTATTGTATTATAATACTATCTCTAGGCTCTAGTATAGATTGGTATCTATTCAGAACTATCGAAAGTTTGGACAACGTTCTTATTCATCACACTGTATTTTTTTAATCGCCCACAGAAAGGGAATGCAAATAAGTATGAAAAAGCCAAATTAGATATTAATATACAAAGATTGTAAGCAATCTGACTAGCAAAAGTAGTTATTTGCTTATTTCAGTAAACCAGTCTGTATCCTTTATTACTTAGTAATTATTTTGTGGTAATCATTACTTAGTAATTTATTACATCTGCTTCAGAAAAGCCTGGTCCTCTGATTTATAATAGAAGTTGTCTTTGCTAGTATCATATAATGTCTTCTCCTTTAGCTATGTAACCCTCATAATCATAAGAAGCATCTGTAGTCACCTGCTGTTATTACCAAGTCATCAGACACTTTGTTCTGAAGCGGGTCAATAGTTGAATTCACAACCATCTCTAAAGGTCTGATGTGGAATTACTGCTTTAAAGAGAATTAAAGCCAGTTGGCTAATTTAATACTTCCTTCAGTTCAGCTGATAATATATAGAGAGCAATAATAATTGATTAAAGTTATAAAACAGAGTAATTTTATGTAAAGAACATGATCTTGTTTACATTTGTGTTTATATTAGATAAAGTAATAGAAATAATAAAACAGAAGAATATTTTACAAACGTGAATAATTTTTCATTTCGACTTCTGAAATCCTAGGTCTGGGTTTTTCATGTTACTCGTGATAGAATGATTAAAAAAAAAATCAGATAGTTTGCATATTTCCACTGATCCTGAACTGATACATTATTGTGATTAGGTTGTTGACCCATAGAAATTATACTACACTGTTTTTTAAATTATTATTCTTGTGCTAGATCACTTAGACACTCTCTCTTTCACCATTCCATTAGGATTGGGATTTTTTTTTCCCCCAAACCTCAAGTGGAAGATAAGTCTGCAATTATACTTTCAAAGTGCCTGGTGTACAATAAACAACTAGAATCCCAGAGTTAGTTATGACTTTGTAGTTATTTTTTTCTTATCTCTTACAATCTTCAGTTTGATATTTTAAATGTTCTAGTCTAGAGGGCAGCCACACGTGCCCTTTCTTATCATGTATATTTCATCTCATATTCAGGTAAATACAACCCAACCCTGATCCATGGCATTTGTCAGAATTCAAGCCTAATGATAGACTCCTTCTTCTTAATGCTATGGTTATTTTCTAGCCCTTAGATACTTATAGTCTTATGACAAATCAGGATATTGTGATGAATGAGGAAAGAAGCAATAGATTGCTTATTCAGTTTCTCTCCCATTTTAGAGGGAAAAAAATCAATTCTGAATGCAGGTTGATGGAGTTCCTCAATGATTTGCACATGTCCCAAAATGACACAGTTCCTCGTTTCTATCTTTAGCAAAATATAGTTTCCAGTCATGTTTTTTTCTTGACATCAAGGTCCTAAAAGGATTAAACTCTCCCACGGGCAAACACTATCAACAAGCTTATGTGTATAGTCCTCCATGCTCAGCAGCAGTGACTAAGTCTTTATGATATCAGCATCATCTTAGAATGGAAGCACTGAAGAAAAGCTACAGGGCTGATTCTGGTTCTCTGTCCTTGCTTTCTTGGCTCTCACATACATAATATCCAGTATCTTCTCAAAATACAGTCTGCATTGCCTGATGTTTTGCTGTAAGGCCATTCCTCTTTTCTAACTGCTCTTTTTGTCTTAGCCTTACAGTATATACGTTCAGGTTGTCAGAAATAACAATCTGCAAGGCTTTGCAGCATGCCACCCATGATTACAAAATATTTCCCCCAACCAAATCATAAACATGTAGTTTAACCAAAAGGCATTCTAATTTTCATGCTATGTTGAGTATAAATATAAATTCAAGGCAGCCAAACTATCCATTTCCAAATAAGAATGTATACCTACACTCATTAAAAATCATCTGGAAATGTGTATTATTAGCAAATGAGTAAGAAATTTTCACTAGTATAAAATTCCTGCTTTATATAAAAGCCACACTGGCCATTCAAGTATTTGAGGTTGTTTTTTTTTTTTTTTTTCCCTATAGTTTTTGTAATTTGTACTAAAACAATGAATTTAGATTTGAAATTATAATAAAGGAAAATTAAAAGTCACTTCTACCTATAGGACATTTTTTAGAGTGTGCATCTAAAAAACAAAGTGTCCATCTGCAGATTTTCACCATCAACACTCCTCTCTCCACTCTAAGGAAACAGCTCATGCTTACTAGGTTTTGGAGAACAACTAACAATCCAATGAAGAAGTAACACCAGATTTCCTTCAGTTTGTGCCAGTTTGCAAGTTAAAGGTCAAAGGGCAAAGACATAGAACAGGACTCTTCAAGGTAAATTTTCACAGAAGACAATGTTTAAGTTGTTGTTAATGACAGTCAACAGATCAATAATCAAGTTCAAGGCAAGCTGTTCATTGTTTCAAAAGCTAATCCCCTCAAAAGCTGGCTTTCACACAAAGCCAATGTCTGACTCATGGGGTGCGTTCCATCTGACCATCTCTAATAAGTTCACAGCCCAGTGGCTGTAAAGCCTTTCACTGCAAGAAGCAGCTCCTAAAAATCAATAAAGAGGTCTGTCAGTTGCTGACTTTTCTCTAGGAAAAAAATATTGATACAAACCTGCTCTGCAGGTCACATGAAAATGACAATACTGCTGTTAAGACAAATTACACTCAACAATGAAATGCTTTGGTGGTCTCTTGGCTCTGTCAGTGATCAAATGAATGGCTGAATGCCAGAAGCCACACTAACCCTTTGAGAACTATGGTCGACATGCAATAGGTAATGTGTTGGGGGTATTCATGCGATTTCAGAGTCATCATTGTAATTCATTTTTAAATGGCAATGCTCAGTGCATAAACCAAGGCAAATTGAATTTTCATGCAATGTTTTTTAAAACAGAAATTTAATATGTCTCTGAAAAGTTAAAAACTTGGGCTATTATAACCAGTTGTACAAATAAAATTTCCCTCTTCTGAGATTACTCAATAAAATGTCCTTGCATTTGCCAGAAAAGTTTGACACGTAGCATTGTTTCTGTGTTATAAATGCATTTATGTATACTATAAATCATTTAAGAATTACATGAGTTTATAAGGTATCCATTTTAAAAACCTGAACTTCTTGAACCTGTGACTGTTTACCACAACCCAGTTTTATAATTTACCAGTATCAAGACTGACACTTCTAAGACTCTGAGAGCCAGTCAGATAGTTCTCAAAGGGTTATACCAATGTATTACTAGTGTCACAAATCCTCATAAAATAACTGTCACTTTAGTCCACTTCAGAGACACACTGCTTCTTGCTCCAATTTGTAATGAATATTCCTGACAGACCTGTGGAAGGCCTGGGGCAATGGCCTAATACAATCTGGGGAGATAATCACAATGATGTAGGAGTAGGGTGGCAAGAAGGGGTTTAGAAACACTTCAAAACAATTAGAAGTTCCTGTTTGACTATAGCTATGAATATAAATGAGATGAAACATTGAGGACATAGCTGAGAACAGCTGTATAAAATGAAAAATGGATGTAGTATTAAGGCTGTTACTATATTGCAGATATTTTGGCCCCTTGTTTGTTGGAAAATGGCTGTCCCAACAGTCTAAAGTCCTGCATGTGTATTCCACATCTCCCACCTGACAAAATGATGCGTAGGAGACTATCCATAGCAGTCAGAGAGCTATCTTCTTTGGAGACAAAGCTGTTTTGGGTCTTCACACTTTCCTGAAAGTTCAATTGTGGGTTTTTCTTTAAACTTGTTTTCCTTTGCTTTAAAGCAAAAACTTGTGGTTGTTTCTGTTTTGCTTTGTTTCCCCCCCAAAAAATGGGCTCAGACTTCAGAAGGAAAATCATATTAGAAACCTTTAAGAAGAATCTCTTCTTCTTTTTTTTCCTCTTCTTTAGTTAATCCTGAAATTTTACTGGGCATTGAGCGTGCAGAGGAAAGGCCTAGAACTGAATGACAAAGAAAGACAAAGGACTGAAGAACGGCAGATACTGTGCATCATGGAAGCTTCCCCACAAGTGTATTTCCACTCATGTGCAGGACCAGCAACCCTCTGGGTTTGAAAGGTCAGCCCCAAATCAGGCTGCCACCAGCCTGCTCCTAGCTAGGAAACAGCATAACAGCTCTTGTCTTGAATCTCAAGTTACCACAAACTCCTGGAAAAGAAAGAAAGAAAAAAACCCTACATCACACCCACTCTTGCATAGAGCGTTTACAGTACAGTATGTGGCGGGGTGTTCCTTTCCTTTTGAACTGGAACACAGTGTAAACCAATACAAGGAGGCATAAGGCCAAGATGCAGGGAATGACAATAGCTATGGCTTTCACAGTGCTGGCTGTGTTGTCCAGTTTGATGACAATGTCTACATCATCTGGTGGGCTGTGCCCTTCTTTATCTCTGTCCATTGGTCCATCACAGCCCATAAAATCCTTGAGGATGGATCTCGGATATCCAGGTTCTACCTTGAGTATCTGGTTGTTGAATTTCCAATACTCCTTTCCTTTGTAGAAATATGTAAAGCCTGGGCGGGAAAACACACACACATACACACAGGTTACACTTATTTGTGAAAGTGAAAATGCATAAAAAATTTTCATAAAATAGGTAACTTCTTTAGAGATGTACTTTAAGGCCCTTCAGTTTTCATAGGAAGCAAACACTCTCATCAGTTCAGCTGTCAGCTAAAATGACTCTGTCTTACAGTGCTCAAGGAACTGTACCTCCTAATGCCTATGGAAAGCTCAATCTAGTGAAAGAAATATTATCTACAGAGTACTGTTCAAAAACCATGATACACACATCTACATCTAGTCCCCACAAGAAAGGGAATTTTATCCTTTCTCTTGCTTATAGGGTTGCTGTTAGAAAATCACACATTAGTGGGATAATTTCAATTTATACTGAAGAAAACTAAAACAGCCTCTGAACTGAAACACTGCTTATCAATGGGCTATTATTGAGGACATCATTCAATACATTGTAAAAAGTCTTCTATGAAATACCTTTAAGTATATTTTCATCCTTCCCAAGAATTGTTGTGCTTGTCCTAAACAATGAGGTTCTTTTTGTAATTTGGAAAAGAAACCATAATATTTAACAAGTCATAAAATTGAAAATGTTTTCCCTTGTCTCCTAGGAAGATTAATAAGTAAATAGATATTTACAGTATTTTGTATATTTACCTCATTTCTAGCTTTCGGTTACACCTATTTTGTTCCTTCTCCTTTTCTTCCTTTATTAAAATATCTTATTTATATAGTTTAGGTAAAGTATGTGCCAGCTGGCTATCTTATATAGAAATGTTAAAGTCATTATTAAGCTTTATAGGAAAAGAGTATAAACAAATTTCCAAGTCTATCTTTAATATTTCCACATAACTTATTTCATATTTCATGGGATAGGAGATGCCATGTATCATCCTCAAATTATTCAGCAAGACATATATGTCCTACAGCATTATGGTTGCAGATCATAGGCTTTTTTTTTTTGAGAGGTTTTTGCTATAGGGCGCGTGCGCTCGCCAGACAGAGAGATAGAAAGCAGGAAATCACCCCCCAGGGGGGATGGCCATGCCGCAATCCCTTCTCCTCCATTCTCCTCTCGGGATCTTGGGCACGCACGCACACGTGCCCGGCGTGAGTTTAAGCCACCGGGTCCGGGACTCGAACCGCGGTCGACTACGTGGGAGTCCAGCGACATAGCCATTATGCTAACTGCTGGTCCCAGATCATAGGCTTTTGACAAAGTACCAAAATATGCATTTTTTTCTTAAGACTTATTCTCCAAATTTTATTGTTTTTGTTAGGCACATATCTACTTTTTTCTCTGTCCATGGCTTCTTCATGTCAAATTTCTTTGTGAGTCTCTGACATGGAATTAATTCTTGCTTTGAGATAAAATATAAAAGAAATGTTTTAATAGTATAATTATCTAAAAATTACATTTTGAGCGTTGTCAATAATAGTCATTAATGAGAATTTTCTTTTTTTTCTATTTTACTGAGTACTTATTATTGAAGAGGCATGGTGTTACAAGCTTAGTATATGCCATCTTTTTTAATCCTCAGAACTACTCTATCAGGTAGAATTAATTATCCATTCTTTACAATCAAAAATAAAGAGAATCAGAGATAAAACAATATACCGAAGTTCTGGTAGAAGCAGAATTATAATCTTTAATTCCATATGTAGAAACTGAACACTTAATAATTTTGCTAAGACTGAGGACTGAGTCCTTCAGAAATCTCTTTTTTTAAATTTTTGTGATGATCAAGTTCTCCATAGTTAAGTATCAAAGCTTCTGATACAGATCATCCTTGAAGCACACAACTCTGACATTTCTCCACAAGTTACAGATAGGACAGACCATGCCTTCAAGTCACTTCATCTTGTATATCCTTCCGCTCAATGCCAGACACGTGTTGTGGCTTCTAGTTTCAAAGGACAGTACTGCAATCAGAGCACCTTGCCAGCTGAAAACAGGTGTATGTAAATTCATATTTTTCTGCAGGGAACTGGTATTTGATCACACTAATGAAATCCAATGTAATTACTCAACAAACTTGGATGAAGAAATGGTGAGGACCTGCCAAATAACAGCATATTAGACGATCGGAGTTGAATAACGACATTGATCTAGAATTAAACAGACCTTCGAAATAGGTGAGTGTACTTCATATGTTTATAAACTGGAAATCAACAGCTGGAAGTGTCCTGCCCTGTAATTGTTAGCCAAAGCTAATTAATATAACACTACTGGGCATTACACATGACTTAAGAAGCTTTCATTTTCATATTAATCAAGTGTATAGGCCAAATTGTATAGCGCTCCATGTATAAAAGTAGAATTGTATCTACTGAATAAGCTGGCTAGAAATAAAAGGTCTAGCCAGTAGAACTTAGATAATATCAATATTTAAAAAGAAGTAGACTGAAAGTGATTCTGTACAATTCATCTTGTTCAGTAACTCAGGGCTTTTTTTTTATTTTTTTAATTTTTGGAATTAAGATTTTTGTTTTGTTTTATAAAGAATTATTTTATTTAGCTTTATTTATTTATTTATTTATTTATTTATATTTGACCAGAAAACGAAAGAGAGAGAGAGAAGTGAGAAAACAAGCTGCCAGGTCTGAGATTTGAACCACAGTTGGCCATGTGGAAGTCCAGCACCCTTAACTACTATGCCACCTGCTGCCATCAGAATGTAAGTTTGTTGAAAAAATGTAAAGGTGATTGTGTTTTCTTTTTCTTTTAAAGGAAACTTTGACATTATAAGTTATGTTTATTTAAAGAAGTCTTACCTGAATTTTTATTTTTTGGCAGAGACTCTGAGAAAGAAATAAAAGAGCTGGAACGAAACATTTGATCATTTTTTTTTTTCTCTTATGTATGACTGGATTTTGGGTCTGGTGACTTTTCTATAGCTTATTCCTAAAGTGTAATGAAACATAGTTGACTGTAGCTGTCCTATCATAGCTTTGGAGGTACTCCTGTATGCCAGTGTCTCTCTCTGTTATATTTTCTAGAATTATACACTATTGGTAAGAAATTAGTGTTTAGTAAATGTGCATAAATAAACTAAATATTGTGATGATGTTTATTTGAATTAAACTTGTAGATTTTAACAGTATGAAAGTGGAGAATTAATATACAACATCCATAGAGCCCAAACTCAAAACTTTGGGAAAAGGCTTAAAGTAAAGCTGTAATCAATAAAATGATATTCAACCATGTTAAAAGTAAATTCTGTGTTTTCCTTAAAATTGTATTTAAGTGCTGGCCCTGTAGCTTAGTGATTAACGGAGCCAGATCCCTCATGGCTGACTGTAGTTTGAAGTCTATTTTCAAAAGCTTGAAAAACACATCTAGCACATACGTGTGCACATCCAAAATACTCAGAGAATGGAGATATGGAGAAGAAGGGATTTGGGCATAACCATACCCCACTGGGGACTGTTTTCTCCCTTTCTCTTTCTGTCTTTCTGTTGAGCACCTGTACCCTCTGGCAACTAAAAATAAATAAATAAATAACATCTAAAGCTACATTTTAAGCATTTAAACTTTCTTTTATTTATTTATTTTTAAATTACTATTAGGAGAGGAGTCCTACAGTGGTGGAAGAGTGAACTACAGGGACCAGCATTTAGCGTAATGGCTATGTTGCTAAACTCCAATGTAGTTGACCGTGGTTCGAGTCCTGGACCTGGTGGCTTAAACTCACGCCAGGTGCATATGCGTGCATGCCCAAGATCCCAAGAGGAGAAGGGATTGCGGCATGACCATCCCCCCTGGAGGGTGATTTCTTGCTTTCTATCTCTCTTTCTCTCTCTGTCTTTCTGGCGAGCGCACGCGCCCTATGGCAAAAACCTCTCAAAAAAAAGAAAAAAAAGAGTGAACTACAGAAAATATTTCGGTGCTTATCATCTCTGATTTTATGATTGTAAATTTTGCTTGCATGGACTTATCCTTACAAAAAGCTACTTTGAAGCAAAATAATTTATACATATAATTATGAGCTTAATTTGATTTTTCTTTTTCACACAAACTTAAGGGAAGAAACTGTTAAAATATGAGTTGAAAGTAACAGTTCACAAGCATGACATCTGAGTAAAGGGCAAGTAGTGAATTTACTATTGATATGCTATATAAACAGAGACCATACAAATTGGTTAGTACCACTATTCTACAGAGCCCACATTTTTGGAAAATATCTTTTCATTTTCAGGGAGGAAGGATAAAACTAATTGTAACTATTATATACTGAATGTTTACTAGGTGTGGTGTGTAACTCTACCTTCAGAGTTTGTGTTAGAGAAGATAATGAACATAGCTGATCATTGTAATATAAGATTTAAATACAATACATAAGGTACTGAAAAAGGATATTCAAAGACGATTTCCTGAAAGATAAGAGTAAGGTCAATGTTGAAAAAATATCAAAGAAGGGTGATGAACCAGGGAGGTTCAGGAGATATAAGATATGCTGAAGTTTCATCTATATTTTCAGTCAGTTGTAAGCATTGATTTTCTCAATATTCTTTTTTTCTAATTTATAAGGTTTTCTTAATATGTGAAAAGAAAACATAAGACATTGAATATAAAAATATTTTTCTACTTATGAAATTTACTTTTGAGGTGGGGAAATCATTTGAAAATGCTGTAGAAACAGAATCTTCTCTCATTCTCAGTTCTATTTTGTACAACACATAAAATTAAGTAGATATGAATTTTTTCAGAGATGAAAACTGATGGTTTTTGTTAATTATGTTTTTATAACATGAGGTTACAGATAGATATTTTAATTAATTTTTTCACATTAACTGCTTTTCTTCATGGGTGTTCAAACATAATTTAAGAGTTAATTACATAATTCGGAATATACACATCAGCACTGTGACACTAATTTATGTGAATAAATATTACTAAATGTTCAGATAGACAAGAATTTGAAAAATCACAGGATAGAAAGAAGCAAGAAAAAAATTTTTAATTTTTGTATAATTATGATTTATTTCCTCCCAAATGTGGCCAGATCTTACATTTTTTCTTTCTTTTTTTTTTTTTTTGAGAGGTTTTTGCCATAGGGCGCGTGTGCTCGCCAGACAGACAGAGACAGAGAGACAGAAAGCGAGAAATCACCCCTCAGGGGGGATGGCCACGCTGCAATCCCTTCTCCTCCATTCTCCTCTCGGAATCTTGGGCACGCACGCATACGCGCCCGGCGTGAGTTTAAGCCACTAGGTCCGGGACTTGAACTGCTATTAACTACGTGGGAGTCCAGTGACATAGCCATTACACTAACTGCTGGTCCCCAGATCTTAAATTTTATAGGTCTTGGAAACAGAAACAGGAAAAATCAAAATATTTAATATGCTAATGAATTAAAATTACACCTTATTTTTCAACTTTTGAAATGATTACTTACTTTAAAAGTTATTTTTATTATAAAAGTTACACAAACTTTAGAAAATTAATGAAATAATTTTCTTTCATTATTTTTATTTTTATTTTTTTGGAGAGATTTTCTCTATGGGGAGTATGCACTTGCCAGAAAGACAGAGAGACAGAGAGACAGAAAGCGAGAAATCACCCCGCAGGGGGGATGGCCACGCTGCAGTCCCTTCTCCTCCATTCTCCTCTCGGGATCTTGGGCACGCATGCACGTGCGCCGGGCATGAGTTCAAGCCACTGGGCCCAGGACTCGAACTGCGGTCAGCTACACGGGAGTCCAGCGACATAGCTATTACGCTAACTGCTAGTCCCTCATTATTTTGTTTAAAGACAGAGTTTTGCCATATTGCAATCTTTCTGCCTTTGCCTCCTGAAAGATGGTGGGACTACAGGCACCCACCACTGTGCCCAGCTATTATGGTGGACCAGAAATTGAACCAGAGTCTCCCACGTGCTCTCAGCCTTTAAGGCAGCACTGTGCTATGCTTAATTTTTTAAAAAACATGTTTTTATTGTCATTGTTCTAGTTTCTTTCTTGGTGACAGCTACACTTCTTAGAGATGATGTCAATTTTCTGACTTCAATATGATTATTGTATACATTCACTTCTTTTCATCTACATAACTTCTTGAGGTTTAGGTCACATTACTGATCCTACTGCCTTCAATGTGCCTGCATTGTGATTTTTTTCATTTTCCTATTACTTTCTTTTTCCTTTTAAACAGATACTTTTTTAAAATTTTTTTTTTCCATCTTTATCCCCTTCTCTCCTGTGGATTTCTGTTTCTAACTTAACACAAGCTATACCTTAACTTGGTCTTTTAATTCTCTGAGCAAATAGAACACACATAAAAAACTAAAATTATCAGCAAGTGCTTTGATCAGGGATTCAAAATTTCTTTTTCTGACTTTACCTATACCTACAGTATTTTACTTGTGGGGCACTATTACACAGAAAGTAGGTCAGTTCTCAGACTGTTGTTTTTCTTGCTATTAAGCTGTCAAGTATCCAGTTGTTCTACTGTATTGAGAGGAGGTTTTAATTTTTTCTGATACCCTAAGACAAAAGTACATAAAAAAATAATCCTCAATATGCATTATTGTTTGAGGTTTTAGTGCCTCTGCCTTCACTTACAACTTATCCTCCTTGTGGTCAGTTCTTATCCTGGGTATGTTATTAATTATCTTTACAGGAATTTTAATAGAAATAAAGGTGAGGTTACTTCAAAGGTATCCATCCTCCATATTAAAATATAGCTTGTATTTTTTCTAATGGCTTTTTGTAAAGGAAGGTCAAAAAGTGTCTAGAGTCTAAGTCAGGAGGAAGAGTTCATATAGTATTATATCATTCTAGTATGGTTCTTTTCAATGATTTAACACAGTGAACAAGCATAATGAGTTATTAAAATACCTATGAAATAGACAATGGACATGTTACATACCATTTTCTTTGTGCACAAAAGCTCCCTGAGGAGATTCAGGGATACCTTTCCAGACTGTGATTGGTTTGGGATAGCCAGGGTCCATTGTTTTCATTTCCTCACTGTATCTCCAGTACCTACAAAGAATAAAAACAACATGGACATAGGGAAGGAAATTATGTATGCAACCAGTAATAGCTAGCATTCATTAAATCCTTCTCTATACTTGTTTCTGATTTACAGAATACCACTTGGGAAGCTCTGATGTAAATTATTGGAAAGACAGTGGCATAAAAGATTTATTCTCTTTTCTCTCCTATGCATGTTTAAAATGGGAATATTATGGTATATATCTTGCATATATTAAAAATGGCTATGAATTCAGTCTGTTAAAATTAAGAAAAAATGCTAGCTATGTATATTAACAACTTATAAGGGCATCACCCACCTGTATAAATATCAGAGGTTTTCAAAATTAAATATTTTACTTAGGCAGCAGAACACTTCCTTAGAAATAACACACACACACACACACACACACACACACACACATATATGTGTGTGTGTGTGTGTGTGTGTGTATATATATACACAGAGAGAGAGAGAGAGAGAGAGAGAGAGAGAGGTTTTTGCCATATGGTGCATGTGCTCACTGGAGAGACAGAGGAAAGTGAGAAATAGCCCCCTGGGGAGGAATGGCCACTCTGCAATCCCTTCTCTTCCATTCTCCTCCTGGAACTTTGGGCACACATGTACATACACCCAGCATGAGTTTCAAGCTGCTGGTTCTGGTATCTGAACTGCATTTCACCATGTGAGAGTTCAGCACCTTAACCACTATACCTCCTGCTAACCCCTACCGTTGAAATAATATTAAGCAGAATATTCATTCATTTCTTCATTCAGCGAGTATTTATTGACTATTTACTGTGTTTCCAGCACTTCTAAGGTTTTGGAGATACAATATTGAATAAAGCAGACATATCCTAGTTCTTATCAATCTCACAGTTTAGGTGTATAGGGATATTTGTGGCAAACTAATTTATAAATAGATACAGTGTAATAAGAGATGGTAAGAATAATGAAGAAAACAAAGCAGTTAAAGTAATCTAGGAATATGCAGAGTCCATTTTAAGTGAAAATGACTGAACATAAAGGTTTTATGATCCCCTGATATTTGAGCAGAGGGCTGAGAGGAGTGAGAAGGAACATATGTACTAAAATGACTAGAAGGACATTCCAGTCACAGGAAGTAGGAATTGAAATTCCTGTGAAAGGTACATGCCTTGAGTACTTGGGCATCTTCGAAGAGTAAAGCTGACTAGAATTGAGTTAGCAATGGGTAGAAAAAGAGCTGCAACCAGAGTCCAGGATGTGAGGACGTTTATGCTACACTGAAGTGCTTGATTTTTCTTTGAGAGAGATGACAAGCCAATGGAGAATTTGAGCAGAGGAGCTTCAAGATATATCTGACAATTAGAAATAATACAGTGGTCGATGCGAGTAAAATACATTGAAAAAGTAAAGCAGAAGCAGAAATACCAGTCAGCATTTCACTGCTAGAATCCTTGGACTACAGACAACTGTAGAGCTGAGGATAATTCAAGTGATTGGGGATATATTTTAAAGAAAAAGTCCAAAGACCATACTACTGGGTCATCAGGAAAGTCAGGGCACATTTGTGCAGAGACCAACAGAAAAATATGTCATGACTTTTCTGACAACACAACATAATGAATTGAATATGGGAAGGAAGTAGGGAGAGGACAGCTGGGATTGTTTGAGTAATCATGAGTTTGTTATTAGCCATGTTAAATTCAGACATCAAGATGGGTGGTTGATGCAACTGGGAGTATAGACATTAGGACAGCTCTTCCTTGGAGTCCTCAGTGTATAGACAAGAAGACAGATAAAAACAAAGCTCACCAAGAGTTGGAGTGCTCAGGCTCCTCTCTCCTTCCACGGTAGCCCAGGTGCTACTATTACAGAGCCCCTACACTTCTGAGAGACAAACTGTGAGCATTTCTATTTTAGATCACTCATTACTGTCTATAGTTGTAAGAGTAAAACAAATTTACATCTTTAGTGTTCAAAAGGATTGACAAAACGGGGTGAAATCACTGGGAATTTCAGTGATATCTATTTTATAGCATGCATAATGCTCTATGCATTATCTTATTTAATCACAACAAACTCTTGAGATAGTAATCCTTGTCTCCATTAGAGAGAATTCTTGGAAGACAATGGATGGTAGGTAGATCTATAATTAGATTTGTCTGATTTCAGAAGTCTGCACTCAGTTCGAATACAGTTTCCAAATTTGACATCTCCAAATAAATTTCTAAATTTATTTGACAATACTTTCTGGCTGTTTTTAAAGCTCAGTAAACATCTGTAATCATCTACTAAAGTAGTGTTTTCATCAACAAAGATTTGGGAAATAGTATCTTTATTGGATTATAGTAATGGATTAGTTATAATGCCTAACTTTAGAAAAAAATAAGTATTTCTCAGCCTGGATATTTTTCTGTGCCATGTCTATGAGGGCTCCTTATTTACAGAATTTTGAAATCTTGTTCAGAAGGTTTTGCTATGAATTCCTAGAAACATCATTTCAGTAACATCTGGAATATTAGCACTTTTTCCATCTTCAGTGTTCACATGGAAAGGAGAAAAAAAATTGTTTCAGGAAGTATTCTAATAAGTAAGCAAAAGACAGAGTTTATCCAAAAGGGGAGAAAATAATAATTTTAAAAAAACAACAACGGTCACAGGTATTTGTCACAGTTTTTTTTTTTCCCCCCCACATGGAAGATGAGAACAGGATAATTAGGAAGAGCTTCATGGAGATGCACAGAGCAAAATTCACGGTGACTGAGGCATATATTTCTAAAGGATGTGTTGAAGCAAAATCATTAGTGTGTTATTTTTACCAATTCTGAATATATTTTTACTTCACATTTTGTTCATGGAAGTATCTACTTTTAAATTATTTCTGAATAGCCCCTTCATGCAGAATAGTCTGTGATGAATCCAGAATGGCTAATGTAGTTGAGTTTGTGCTCAAAATTTTAAGCTTTCTCTCTTCTCTCCAGTAAATATTTCAGTGGAGTTTGCAACAGTCATATATGTTAATGGCTTCCCACACCTTGACAAAGGGAGCCTTTCTCAGAGAAATAGTCAAATACTTTATTTCATGGATCTTAAGAAAACATTTCTCTCATTCTCTAAACAAAGAATGCACCTTACAAATGGTACTGTATCAAAGTTTACTTGATAGTTTTCTCTTTAATGACAGGTTAAATAATAATATCTTACAACAAAATGGCATTTTTATGACATAATCTGTAAAATAAAGTGAGATTTTATATACTAACCCAGAGGTGCGAAAAAATTTAAAATCCTGGGCATAATGGGATCACATTTCATGTGCAGTTAAAGTATGTTACTATGTACTCACAAACCAGGTTAGTTTTCTGAGAAGTAATTATAATAGTTTCCACATAATAATAGTTATACTTTATACTGCAGTGTTTTGTAGCTATAAAGTAAATTTATATAGGTATGTTATTTTGTCTTATTTCACTTATTTCCCTCCACAATTGTTTATATTGCAAATAACGATGCTGTTTATGATCATGTACTTAGCATACATTTAGTATACACAGTAACTCAATTCAATGTTAGAGTATTGGGCCTTGTATTACTCAAAGACAAATGACTTAGTCATCTTTGCTTTGTTGGAATGTGGTAGAGGTGGAATTCAAATTAGCTCTCTTGATTCACAATTTGGTGTGGTTTTCTACCATGTTTTTGCTAGTGTTGTTCCCTCAACATAGCGTTCTTACAATAAATCTCCCTGTCACTCTTACTCTCTTGATGCTGTCACTCAATGTGTTCACTGTTTGGGTAGTCTTCCTTCCAATCTTTTTCGATTCATTCACAGATTCATTTATCCACTAATACTTTTTTTGAGCATGTGTATTTCATGCCAGATACATAAGATTAATAGAGATCACACTTCAAGAAAATATTAATGAAATATAAATTTTGTTAGAATCTCTTGGAATAACATAATTTGGGTATGAATTTGTCAAAATAGAAACATTTTCCCTCTCTTAAGAGATAATGTAAAACCACAATCCTAGAACATTTCACATTGAAAAACTCAACATACGTTTGAACCCTCATATTGTCTGCTATGTGTCAGTTTTGATATATATTTGGTAAATGTGAATATGATTCAAATTAGGTAAGTATGTTCAGTACTCCCAAATGGTGAAGAGATTTATTCATAAATATAGGTTTGTACTTTAATTTCTTGCATATTTGAACAAATCTTGACATGAATAAGTTTATGAGCCCATTGATAAGTAAATTAGCATATTTTTATTGGAATGCTATGTAAGCATATTATTTTGGGGCTTTTAAATTTGGATACTATAGTAAAAGTGATTGGAATTTTGTGTAGGAGGGGCAATCAATAATAAAGGCTATTATACCTTGTACATTTTTTTCTTCTGATTTACCAGTTATCTCTACTGTATAAGTTTTAATCACATGATTGTTTGAGAGACCTATTATCAATGTTAAAAATAAATTATGATAAAAATAAGACATTCATGAATTTTTAAACTTGTTCATGAATCACATCTGCAAAAGGCAAAAGTTGTTCATGTAATAGTATACAACTTTTAAAAAATGTTCTCTGTGCTAAGAAAAAATGGTATAAACAAGTCTAGAGTGAAATATTTCAATGAGATTTTCTTGGATACTAAATTATAAAGTGAACATAAAGTGGATCCCTGGGTTATTTCATGTGAAACCTCGGGATTTTGAGCAGGCATACATACGTGCCTGGAGTTTTAAGCTGCTGGGTCCAGATCTCACACCACGGTCTACCATATGGGAGTCCATGATGTAACCATTGGCTGGTCCCTTGGTCTCATTTCTTTACTCCAATGTCAAGACTATGCTTTTTAAAGGTTACCACAAAATACACAGTCACTTTTTTTCACACGAAAATAATCATACAAAATTCTACTCTAGAAAGATTCTTTAAAAAAGCAAAAGAACAGAAAATGTTAATTTTTTGTTATATTAATTATTTTTTGTCCAGAAGGCACATGCACCTCTA